CATGTGTTCTGCTTTATCTTTAAAATATTGATTTCTTAATTTTGGGTTGGAAAAGTGGAGGTCCTCTTATACATGGGGGCGTCTTATTAATGTAAAAATACGGTACTCAGAATTCATTCTACGTTTTCTTGCTGTGGAATATAATGATAACCACTTCCTTACTAGCAAATAAACCCAACACCATAGAGATAGTTAAGAGAACAGATGTTATACCAAAATAATTGCCTTGGATAAAAAGTTAACACAATTCTTCTAAGAGCAAAAGGAGGGAGACTGCAGGACACTGTCTTGGTGTTAATAGCAATGAACAGGAAGCAGGGCAAAAGTGCACAAGGCTCTAGTGCCATACAATAAACTGTTAGCTCTTACACCACTGGCCAGAGCACAGACGGTTGTAGTATCTCTAGTTTCTGCACAGTGTAAACTGGCAGTGTGGCTCAGGAATGTCTTGGGAATGCGACAGGTTCAGTTACATGCAGGCCTATGTGCCCTTTGTAAAGCAACACCCTATACTGATGAGTGACAATGAGAACATGGCCTTAAAAGTTCCCACCTTACATTGCAGCAAGACAATACACCAACCTTGATGGAGCAGATCCAAAACATCATTCCACTCAGTGTCCTACTTCTTGAAATGGCCCATCTAATGCTTTCAGGTATAACAGCCCTTGCTTATGGGGGCTTCCCAGCAACTAGCCAGAGCCCGTCCACTGCTATTCACAGATCTGTGCTCTGCACATGACATAAAGTAAGAGTTGTGTTATGTATATCGGCACTGCTGGGAATTTGATATCCAACCTCCCCGCCCAAGGATTTGGTGGGTTGGAGTACAGTATTTTTGTTTGTTGTTTTAGAACCTTGTTACGCCTATTTAGGCATACACTACATTTTTTGTGTGTCCCTATTGGGAAACCAGAATTTGGCACTACAGGTGGAAGGTAGTCCAAGAGATTAAGAAGTGCCCACTGCCCTAGGTCTCAGGGTACCATCCTGGATTTAAGCCATTCTCTATCAACACATCTTGCAGCAACAAAGTCCATACATTTCTGATGTCTTCCTAATCCCCAACTCCCTTTACAGAGCAATCACCCTTGGTAGACTTCACAAGCATTTCAGCTGACATAAGTATGCAGCACCAGCTAATCTTAAAGCATGAAGGAGATTTGCAGATCAATACACCTGCTGGCTATTGTCACAGCATCCATCACTCCTGTCCAAGAAAGGATTAATACTGGAAGGGGAAAGCAGCAGCCCCAAGACTACAGTTTCACTCTTAAGACAACAACAAGCCTTGTGACCCAATTCATGCTCTGCATGATATCCAGTTACTTTTACCCACTTACTTAAACACCATGTTGAGTCATCAGCTGTCTGCAAATGCTCCCTAATTGCTGAGGGAACGGAAGCAACAGAGCCTTGTAATTAAGATTACATTTTATGCAATTATGTGCATTTCTAACTTCTGTCTCTTCCTGAGTTTCCTTCTTCCGTCTACCTTCTCCTTTGTCTAAAGCTAAGTCTCCAACTCCCTTTCAGGTATGGTCTTGCTTTCAAAGTTTTTTCTTTATTTTTTTAGTTATGTTTGTATACCTTTATATTCACCACTTGAATCTGAGAAATAATACAAGATGCTACTAGAAATGATAGGGTATAGAGATCTGCATTGGGGCATTTTCACCTTTTCCAGTATGTAAGATCTAAGAAGGAGAAAACAGGTGTACGGCTTGAACCCGATGCCATCTCAGTGTCTGAGCCATCGTCAGACTGGTTGCTATAGCAAGGCGAGTGGGCTGGAGAGGCACTTGAGGTAGTGCTGTGAGCATCAGAGTCTATAGGAAGAAAGGAAACAGTTGCATTAGAATAAAATGCACACCTAGAGTAAATCTTTGATTTAATGGACCATTCAAGGTGAGGGAGTGTCTGTTATTCCCAAATGTCCATTAAATCTGAATTTATGTACAGTAATTCATGTCATTTAATGTCATTTGTATAATAATGCAATTGTGCAAATATTTTGTTATTAGGAAAATAGCATACATTACATTAATAAATGTAACTGAACCATACTTGGACTTATCATTAAGTACCCTTTTGATCACCAAATTACCATTGTCCAGTTTATTTCAGATACAACACACTTAGTTCATCATTTCAAAGGAGATCCAGATGCAAATTTCTATTAAATCAAAGTTTTACTGTACGTAACACTGTGCTTTTAAATTTGGACATGTTTACTAGAAATGGATTGAAGGCTCTAGTATGCATCCTTCTTCAAAGTTTCAGCTTTCATTTGCAACTTAACATGATTTTTTTTTTCAAGTTTCTCTCCATATAGTTTTAATGCAACATACAGGAAGTTTTCATTTCTCATGAAAACCACAAAGGGTGTTTTCCTCCTCATTTCTCTTCAAATCCATCAGTATTTAATCCTAATCTTACGAATCCAAATCTTAGAGTTTTGTGAATGATACAGCTGAAAATAAATATTAAATTCTTACTTCAATCATACTTTATTATTTCTTTTCTCAGATTTGTTTTGGTTAGCATACATATGGCATACTGAATAATTATTATTATTCCTCCTGTTTATACCATAAATTATACATAATGGTTTGTGATAAACAGATATCAATTTTTTTAGGTCACAAAGCCAGCCACATTCTGTTTGCTCAGATAAATTCTCAATTTGATGCTGGTCATGGGACATGTGTAAACATCACTGACATTCAAATATCCTCCAGAAATTGTCTTTCACTTGCATGCAAAAATAAGCTGACAAAATAAATTAAATTCACACATTGTGTGACTGTGTATCTACTTCTGAAGGCAAGATTTAAAAGCTGAGACAAGACTATTAAATATCAAGATTTGGTAGACTGAAAGCCCTCCTCAGTGACTGAAAATACAGTTGGGCTATTACATCAAATAAAGCACAATCCTTATTAACAGAACATACTGTGTCGCTTTAACTCTTTCTGTAGCTTGCTTATCTGGTTGCTCTTCATCCTGTTACTAGGTAGAGTTTTCATCTTCTTTGGCTTCAGTGTTGTTTTAAGACTTGGCCCAGCCCTTGCGTCCACAACCTGTAGGAAGGCAGCATGAGATCTTAGTGCCATCAGGAACAGTAAGGCCTACACGGGTAGATTTTTTAAAATGGGGAAACTGTTATATATTGATTTGAACTTAAAAGACACCCAAATATAGAAAGACGTTTATTACAAGCCACACTCACACTGTGTGAGCCATGGTCTACAATCAGAAGTGTTGTGGTCTAGCTGCAGGTAGCTCCACCGGTGAGAACTAGACTGTAAATTAGGAATGTACAAGCCAGGCTTGTTGTGGCTTATACAACACATGATCTCCCTGTCACCACCTTCCCAATGTTTATCTAACCTATTAGAGTCCTATGAGTCATAGCAACAATGAAGGCAGGTAAAGACAAAGCCACAACAGCAGCAGCTCTAGGCATGTTGAATACTTGGTAAAAGAGGAAAATACTGGACCAGCAATCTTGACTTAACCTGGTATACGCTACAAGGTACATCTACCTATTTTACCTGGAAAGTCTGAGGTGGCCAGCTGAAAAGTTTCTGTGAGGGTAAGAAAGAATGTTGTTTGAGTCATTCCCCTCAAAGCTGCACCTTAAGAAAGTTAGAGTCCAGTGAACACAAAGAGAAAGATCAGTGCAGATATAACGAGAAACCTTGCCAAAGCTAATCAGGTCTTGGATCAGGCAAGCACCTAGGTAGACAGCTGACCTGGAATCCCATGTACATCGCTTGGAATTGCATGAAGCAAGTAAGGGGGCAGATCAATAGCCACCTTTAAACATGTGTAAGGAGGGACAACTGTAAACACATCCAGCAGGACAGGCTGTTGTTTAGTTTCTCTTTCTAAGCATTACTGTAACCTGAGGAGTGAAGTCCTACAGTAGCCCCATGTGCTTATCACCTAGCCTTATTACACTACAAATGAGATTACTGTCTAGATTGCTATAATGTGCTTTACTTGGGGCTGCCTTTGAAGGCTACTCAGAAACTTCAGCTGGTTCAAAATATGGCTGCTTGATTACAGATTGGCCAGTCCTGGTTCAGCACAATTCTACCGATCTCACTAGAGCTGCACTGGGTTTCAGTAGGTGTCCTAGTACAATTCAGTGGTCTGGTAGTTACTGATAAAGCTGCAAAGACAAAGGGAATGGCCTTGAAGGACAAGAGGAAGAGCAGCTACCAAGACAATAGTCAGATAAGTGGGACTTGAGCTAACTTGAGAAAATGTCTCAGACCAGCCCCTCCCTAGTTCACACAGTGATAAAGGGAGGGAGGCAGGGAGGGAGTGGGGAAGCACATTCAGCCTTGCAAGATTCTGTTACAGTAGCTGTAACAATAAAAGTAGCACTGATCTATATGGCATCGGCTTCTTAGTCTAGCCTATCTTGTAGGGCTGCAAAAGCACAATATGGCTTAGTCCTTCAGTTCTTATGGAACCGCCCTTCCTGAACAGAATTTTCCCAATCTGCATGGATTGTGCAGGGAGTGATCTATTAGTGATCACCTCTCCCTGAATGGCCTGGGAGGCGACAACATAGAAACAAAATTCTCCTATGGAATCTTCTGCCTCCTGAGCTGAGAATGGCTCTCTCTCTTTAATGGCAGTCTGGAAGCAAGTAGAGATAATCTTTTTTTGCCCAGCTTTTAGAGGGCTGCTTTAAGGAAAGTTGGCTGCTGTTGCCTCTGAGGGTTATAATTTTATGGTTTTAGCTATCAGGTGAGCTTGTGGCCCTATACTTTTGTGCAGATTTTGTTGCTTGGCGATGTTATTGATGTGTCGTTGTTGTTGTGAACTGCCCAAAATCTGGTTAAGAAGGCAGCATACAAATTATGTAAAATAAACACAAGAATGGAA